GAGAGAGAGAGAGAAAGGAATCGCCGAGCTGCGACAGCAGAGATACGGGTTTCTGCCGTTGTCACTCCATTGTCGGGGTAATGAACTTTCTAATTACTAGGCGCCTACAAAGTCCGATTTGAATTTCTAGACGGCGTATAACCGCAGACATTACGGCGGAATAGTCGCAGCTCTACGACAACTTTCGGAGATTAGTAATTAAATATTTAAAGGTGGTTACAATTACGCGACGTGCCTATCCATTATTAAATCTAAAATCCTGCTACCTATCTTTCGAAACCGAAATTGACGACGCTTAGCGAGTTTCAGTGGTAAGAAATTAACCAGAAGAGGTAATTATAGAACAATTGTACGACATGACATATGCTGCATTTTACGCGTGAGATATCCATGAGTTGCGAGTGTTCCGCTTGCAAAAAATGTGCCTCGTGCTGATATTAATAACTCGATATCATTCTGCGGTTAGCACGAGTCGTGTTAATCTAGCTATATTTTCTGACACTTTTATCACGATTAACCTATATAAATCAATCCGCTCATTAATTTATAGTATTGCAAATGGCATTTTGAATATACAACACGATTGTAAAAATTCGCAATTTTGCAATAAAATATCATGAAACAGTTTTTAACAATAATATTAACTTTTCTATCGTCCATATTTTTGCTTAGCGATAGCTGCAAATATATTGCCTGTAATGTATAGTTGCTGATTAATCCGGTACGTAAAATAGTTCGCGACGCATTAGTAGCATGTAGCTCTACTAGGTTGATTATTAGTGTTCTAATTACAAACTTTGCTCATTAACTTTACCGTTTGATTTTTATTTGCAACTTAAGATAAGATTATCTACGACGTTTCCGCGCAACATGAATTATCATTCTCGCGGGGGAAGAAATTAATAAGCGATAGCGTTCGTGCAGTTGCGGTGCACTGCTATCTGACGAATTATTTAATAGTCTCGCAGGGTGGAGCACGCGAAGAACTTTTCTAGTACAATTACACATTGCGATTTTTTCAAAGCTACATGTTGTATGTGCAACGCATAACACACGCAGCTGTAAAAAATAATATAAAACTCGTTTGAATTGCTAACTTGTTTTCATCAATTTCTAAATAATAAAAACACATTTCCATATAAAATAAAATATTTACGAAAGCAAATCGAGTTTTGGTAGTATTCAAATTTTAAAAATATCTTAATTTATTTTTTTCTATTAATGGCGTGTAATATTACTATCTATATGCAAAGTCACGAAGCTTTGTTCCCGAAATCCGAAATAGATATTTGATTGACGTCACAGTAGCACAGTTGCCATGGAAAGGTAGTACCATTTGCACAGGTTTCGTAACTTTTCCCCTTCGAGAATTGCACTCAAAGGGAACTTGAGTCGACTTATCGAATGTTTCATCAGGCTTGAGAAAAGATTTGTCGATTCCGGTAACTTTTCACCTGTACCTTGCCGATTCCCTTACATTTTTCATCAATTCTGAAACTTTGTGCGAGTCGCGTTACGATGATAGTACCCTTTTCTCCGTTATATATCGCAACCGTCTTACGAGTTGTCTCTTTGCAGTGGT